ACAGGAATTAATTTGATTAATTAATTAGACTGATAGGTATAAAGAGTCCCTCCTCCGCTTACACCTCAGTCCAATTATAAAGCTGAAAAAAAAAAATCAAGAGTGGGCAGGAACCCTGATGCTGCCGTGAGAAATAGCCAGGAAAAGAAAATTACGGTAAGTTTGTTATAAATTTTCTCTATTCCTGGCTAATCATGGCAGCATCACTTATGGGTAATACCCAAGCTCACGGAATTATAGGGTGGGAACAATAAACTGAGAAACAGACTCTTATGCTGCAAAGAAATTTAATATCAGTGAGATAAAGAAACTGTAGACAGGACACTCTTCCCAAAGGAGGTGGAAGGAGAGTCCACATCCAGTTTGTAGTGTTTCAAGAACGTCATCGGGGAAGACCAGGTGGCTGCCCTGCAAATATCATCGTATGGAACCTCTGCCCAATTAGCCCATGAAGTTGACAAAGCCCTAGTAGAATGAGTTCTTATCTTCATTGGAGGAGATCGACCTATCGAGATATATGCTTTCCCGATTACCAGTGAAATCCAACGTTTCAGTGTAGATAAAGAAGCCGCTTCACCTTTCCTGGCTCCCGACGGCAAAACAAAGAGTTGGTCAGTTTTCCGGGAAAGACTCAGAACACTTAAGGTACACAGACAGTTCATGACATCCAAACGTTGCCAACTAACCTCCTCTTGTGAAGAAGGATTGGGGTAGAACAATGGAAGAACCACTTCTTGAGAGAGATGAAACTGAGAGACCACTTTAGGAAGAAACTCAGGTTTTGGCTTCAGGCACACCCTATCATGATAGAATTGTAGACAAGAAGATAAGGTAGAAAATGCTTTAATCTCCGAAATCCTTCTTGCGGAAGTAATTGCCACCAAAAACAAAGTTTTATACTTCAGGAGGGTAGCATCCAAACCCTCAAGAGGAACGAACAGATCCTCCGTTAGGTAACTGAGCACCAGAGGAAGGTCCCAAGGAGGGGTAGTAGATCTGGAAGGAGGTCTCAACCTGAAAGCCGCCTTGAAGAACCTGGAGATCAAAGGATCCGAAGTCCATGATATGTTGCACAAAGCTGAAAGCGCCGAAGACTGAACCTTGAGAGTGCTGAGGCTAAGGCCCATATCCAGAACCTCTTGCAGGAACTCCAAGATCTCCGTATTGTGAGGATGCAGGAAGTCAACATTCTTGGCTGAAGCCCATTCCCGGAACACATCCCAGATCCTATGGTAGCATGAGGAAGTAGATTGCAAAAGAGTCTCTCAGAAGAGTATTGACCACTGCTTCTGAGAGACCTGGTAGTTGAAGTCTTTCTTTTTCAAGATCCATACCCCCAATTTGAGGCGTTCCGGATGAGGATGGAATATCGGGCCCTGCGTTAGTAGATCCTCCATGACAGGAAGAGGCCAAGACTGTTCTTGGCTCATCACAGACAATAGGGGGAACCACTGCCTCCGAGGTCAAATCGGAATTCTCCACCTGATGATTCTGGGAGGACACCATCAGGTCGATCTGGGGCATGCCCCACCGAGGGCAATCCATGCAAATACTGCTGGGTGAAGTTTCCATTCTCCTGGAAAAATTTCCTTTCTGCTGAGAAAGTCCGCAGTCACATTCTCCGAACCTAGAAGATAGATCGCCTTCAGACCCTGTAGATTGGTCATGGCGATTGTCATCAAGGGAGCCAGCTCCTTCAAGAGCAATCTGCTTCTCGTGCCACCTTGGTTGTTCACATATGAAGCCACCGCTCGGTTGTCTGTTTTGATCAGCACCCAAGAATTTAAGATCCGCGGTAGGAACACCACGATGGCCTTGGTAACAGCTCTCAGTTCTCTTAGATTTGAGTGTAGCTGATTCTCCTCTCGGGTCCACTTCCCTTGAGTCCATGCGGTATTGAAGTGGGCACCCCAACCAAAAGAACTGGCATCTGTTGTAATAACCTTCCAAGGAGGTTCTTCCAACAGGAAGCCTGTTGCCAAATTCTTCTTGTTCTTCCACCAGGTCAACCCTTTCCTCACGGGCAAGGGTAAAGAGATCCTTTGCTCCCAATCTGTTCCCACTCTGTCAAACTGGAGAAGGAAGCAATTCTGGACCGGACGAAGCTTCCACTGGGCCCATTTTACCAACCCTATAGTTGATGTCAAAGAACCCAGGAGACTCATAACTTCCATTGCAGAGGCAGTCTCGAGACTTTGTAGCTTCCCTACTTTGCCTCTGATTTTTGTGACCCTTTCCGGAGACAGGAACACATGAGCAGATACGGTGTTTATCACTGCTCCGAGGAATACGATCGTCTCAGAAGGAATCAGGGAGCTTTTCTCCACGTTCAGAAGCCAACCGTGGTCTTGAAGAATATTCATTGCCCCCAACGTGTGATGAGCTACTATCCTGTGAGATGGACCTAGGTTAAGGATGTAGTCCAAGTAATGGAAGATCTCGATACCTTTCTCCCTTATGAAGGCTATTAAAGTGACAAGAACTTTCACGAACGTTCTTGGCGTCAACCTGAGGCCAAACGGTAGACCCCGGAACTGAAAATGCCTTCCTAGCGCCCAGAACCTGAGAAACTTCATATGATCTTGGTTTACAGGGATTTGGTAGTAGGCGTCCCTCAAGTCTATGGAGGTCATCCAGTCTCCTCTTTTGACACTCCTCAAGATGGACCGTAAAGATTCCATTTTGAATGTTCTTGCGTCGAGCATGGAGTTTACACCCTTCAAGTTCAGGATGAGACACCACTTTCCCTGGGGTTTTGGGGCCAAGAACACTGTGGAGTAAACCCCAAGGAGTCGTTCCTGTCTTGGAACTTCTTCCACCACTTTTTGGTCCTTCCACAGTCCTCGAACGGGCCTGAAGACCTTCAGAAGTTCTTCCCAGAGGTTCTGGCTCTTCTTCCTCTGGAAGCTTTATTGGAAGAAGAGTGTGAGAAGGATTTCCATGAGGAATTTCTGGAATACTAATCTTCCTGGTTTATAGTTTCTGCTGTCCTGAAAGGTCCGAACCTTGAAGTGCTTATTCTTCCAAGAGGAGGGAAAGCTCTTTCTGCTTACTTGAGGCAAAAATGCTTTTTTCCTCTCAGCAGCTTTTTGAATGGCATCCTCTAGGACCTTGCCAAATAGGAGAGCCGCCTGGAATGGAAGGCCACACAAGGACGCCTTAGAGGCATAGTCTGCTCCCCATGAATTAAGCCACAAGGCCCTTCTAGAAGCCACAAACAGGGCCATACTCTTGGCAATCATGCGAGTGATGTCTACGGAGGCTTCTGAACAGAATTCCGTGGCCAGGCTAAAGTCTTTGAGGCTCTCCAAAAGATCTCCCTACGGACACCCCGATCAATGTCCTCCTCCAAATTTGTGAGCCACACTCTTAAGGCCCGGGTGTCACGTATTAATCCGCTTGTAGAAATGTGGTTAATGACATTTACTGTCCACACAGGAAAAGTTGTGCCGAGCAGCAACCTAATCCACAGAAGGTATAATGCTGAGCAGTAATTGTGCAAATGAAACCTGGTGTCATGTATTCATCCGCTTATAGAAAAGTGGTTAATGGCATTTACTGTCCACACAGGAAAAGTTGTGCCGAGCAGCAACCTAATCCACAGAAAGGTTAATGCTGAGCAGCAATTATGCAAATGAAGCCTGGTAACTGACTTTGGGGTCAAAGGCCGGTTACAGCCTATCAGAACTATAGGAGGGGTATTTAGGCCCAGTTCTCAGCCTGCTCAGTGCCCTGTCGTGGTTTCCCTTGTGGTTGTCCGAGAGCGCGTTCCTGTTTATAGTTTTCTACCTGGTTTTTGACTTTGGCTTTGTTTATTGACTTCTCTATATTCTGGTATCCTGACTCCTGGCTTTCCTCATCGCTGTGTCCCTTTCTGTGTTCCCTGACCTCGGCTAGTATTTTTGACTATTCTTTGTACGTTAAATCCGGCCATTCTAAGGACCGGTAATACGTTACTTATTTGTCATCCATGCTGTACAGTTCTACGTGCTGGATCAAACAGTAATCCTGACACCGGGAGAGAGTGGTCAGTGCCACTGTCGGATGAAGGGCGGAGCCCAGGGCTAAGTAGGCTTTAATCAAATCACCATCCGTTCACCTTTCCATAGGCTCTCTGAGATATGCCATGGAGTCAATAGGAAGCATAGTTTTCTTTGCCATATGGATCACAGCAGCGTCAATCTTAGGAACTGAATCCCATAGGCAGCAGTCCACGGCAGAGAAAGGATAAATCCTCGTGAATTTATTTTTCAAGGTGGATTTCCTTTCTGGCTTATTCCATTCTTGAAGGATTATGTCCCTGATCGAGGAATGCACCCGGAAGGTAGGTCTATTCAGTTTTAGGTCCTCAAAGAACCTGTCAGCCTCTCTCAATACAGACCTTTCTTCCGTGAGACTAAGAGTGTCTCTGAGAAGGGTAATAAGTCTATCAATAGATTTCGAGCCGAGAGACCTGGAGGTATATTCAACTTCCTCCTCACCATCATCTGAGACCTCCCATACATCAGGGTCTTCTCCAGAGCTGGAAGACTGAGGTTCCGCTCTGCGTCTCTTACTCGGACCACGAGACACCGTGGTAGACTTAAAACCCTCAGCAATAGCTTGGGAAATCAGGAGCTTAAGGTCGTCTTGAGGGGGCATCTGCTGCTTCCAATAAGCATTCCCTGCAAAGGTTCCTTCCATGTGGAGCAGGTGACGAACAATTAATGCATTTGTTGGACTTTTCCCTTGATTTCCTTGCTGGAGAATCCAGATGCTTGCTGGGGCTGAAATAAAGCCATATATAAACATATATTACATGCTTAGTTTGGCACTCTTTTAACAACCCCCCCACAAAAAAAAATAAAAAACAAAAACTAACAACAAGAAATTCAGAAGAACTAGTAATCATACCTTACAATGACAGAAAAAACCTCCAGGCAGCCAAGAATAACAGCAAAGAATGAACTGCAGAGCAACCAGGACTGAAATTGCCTTAACAGCTGATGCAGTGCACAGGCAGAGTGTCTGTATCATTCAGTTTAAATAGAGCCGGGGAACGTCCAGTCCGCAAATGCTCGCGGCCTAAAATTACATCACTTCCGGTTCACCGGCCCGGCCGCGATGTCACTTCCACCTGCTGGAACGCACACCGCGTTCCAGCCAACCACGCTGGCCATACCAGGAACCCACAGGCAACAACCCCGGGCACCCCTGCTGCAGCAGAGAGGGACTGACCCCCATGAAAGTCAAGGCAGCAGTCCAAAGTAAGCAAACAGGATCCTCCCACAGGAGGACCCCCATTGTAAGCATTCCAAACACTGCCACCAATGCCGGTGGGGGGGGGATTTTTAGACCCCAGTTGCTAGGGGCAAGACAAACAGCAAGGGGAATTTTTAAGGAGGACCAACCCCATATTCACAGATTACCTGTAGCCGTGTTTCCCTCAGAACACCAAATCCCATGCAGCAGTTCAGTACTTACACTGAACCTGACCCAGTTACTCCTGCTCATGCAGGCTGTTTACTGGGTCCTTCAAATGAAGAGAGGCTTAACTACATTTGGAACGAACCCACGACAAACGCAGGAAGGTGGCCATAAAATTAAACGTAAAAAGTCCTGTAGAACTTGCTAAGGACAGAAAAAAGACTGAGGTGTAAGGGGAGGAGGGACTCTTTATACCTATCAGTCTAATTAATTAATCTAATTAATTCATGTCCTGTGACTGCTAAGGGAGGAGCTACCCATAAGTGATGCTGCCATGATTAGCCTAACTAACATTAGGCAGGCTCAGACTCTGAGTTCCAGGCTGCCAAATTCACATCTGCTGAGAGTGCAACAAGACTTTGGCAGAAACGTGCAGGTTTGTCCCTATGGGCAGCGCCACACATACAGATGATTTGTTCCATGACCTCTTCTAAAAGCATAAGTTGTAGTCATTCCGTAAGGTTGGTAAAGGAAGGGTTAAAAAGGTGAGTTTACTTACCTTTTCCCCCTTAGCAGCACCAATCACTTCAGGGAAGCTCCGCCTCTTTGGGTGAGGTCATCGAAATCGATTATCTCAGCCAATCCAATGCTTTCCCATAGGAATCATTATTATGCTAGTATACATGCGTAGCAAGATACAGCAGTGTGCCATTCAAGTGGTCTCTCTGAGATAATGGGGTTTTACGCAACAACTTTCCAGAATGTGGACAGCCAGTAGAGCACGGATAGGCACATATCAGCACTCAAAATGTTGTGGAGTACATCTCCTATCATGCTCTTACAGTCATAATGCTGGCAAAGCATCGGTGGAGATATTGTCTTCAACATCTGGAGTGAAAAAGGTTGCCTTCGACTGCACTAGAGGCAGGTTAAACCTGCAATGAGACAATGACGTTCCTGCAGAGATGAAGTGGTCTGGGTGCCTATAGAGTCACTAGATGGATTTTAAGGTGGCTAAATCTAAACATATTCAGGATGGGTGGTTACGTAGTGACTTTATTGATGTATACAGAATGTTTTTCAGTCAGCAGGCCAAAGACAAAATGAAAGAGGAAGAAACTACAGTAATTAATATTCATTGAAAAAATATCTACATTGTCACAAAGAAACAGGCACAAGTTTCATGTAATAAATCAGTTAAAGGGACACTATAGTCACCAGAACAACTACAGCTTATTGTAGTTGTTCTGGTGAGTATAATAGTTCCCTTCAGGCTTTTCTCATGCAAACACAGGGAAAAGGCAGTGTTTACACTGCCTCTAGGGACACCTCCAAGTGGCAACTCCTTAGATGGGCACTTTTGGTGCTTTCTGGGTCAGTGCTGCCGAAAAAGCTCTGCATGGAGACGCTGAATTTTCCTCATAGAGATGTATTGATTCAATGCAACTCTATGAGGAGGTCCTGAATGGCCAAAAACGGCATTTAGCCCCGTCCCCGGGCTCTTTTTAGCCAATCCAATACTTTCCCTAAAAAATTAGCCATTTTGATGATGTCACAAAGGGGGCAGAGTAAGTACCGGCGGACCCACACGGCGCTGGAAATAATGTAAGTTTTATACTTTTCTAGGGAGGCAAGCCACCTAAATGGTGGGTTAAACACTGTAGGGTCAGGAATACATGTTGTGTTCCTGACCCTATAGTGTTCCTTTAAGTTATGACAATGATGTCATCTTAAAAATTATAGTTGAAACCTGCCCAAATATGATTAGGAAATGAACATTTTTTTTTTGTTCCTCATGTTTTATTTAGGCAATTTTCTAATTTCATTTACCATTCACTTCCAAAGCCTAAAAGAAGAAGTTCATTTGACTGCAGAAATTTAAAGCTGAACTTTCATCTCCCAGATTTTTTATAACCAAATAGTTAAAGGAACACTATAGGGTCAGGAACACAAGTTTATTTCTGAACACTTGGTGTTAAAACCACCATCTAACCCCCTGGGCCTCTCCCCCCCAATATTGTAAAATCTTATTTTTATTCAAGTCTGCTGTTGCTGGCTCTGCCTGCTTGGCTGACATCATCAGAAGTGTTGAACAAAAGCCAATCACAATGCTTTCCCATAGGATTGGCTGAGACTGTCAAGAAGGCAGATCAGGGGCAGAGCCATCACAAGCCAAACAAAGCTCTGGCCAATCAACATCTACTCATAGAGATGTATTGAATCAATGAATCTCTATGAGGAAAGTTCAGTGTCTCTATCCAGAGGGTGGAGACACTGAATGGCAGTGTTGCCCAGAAATCACCTCTAACAGCCATCTGAGGAGTGGCCAATGGAGGTATCCCTAGGCTGTAATGTAAATACTGCATTTTCTCTGAAAAGACAGTGTTTACAGCAAAAAAACCTGAATGGAATGATTATACTCACCGGCACAAATGCAATACGTTCTAGTGACTATAGTGTCCCTTTAATGAAAAGTTTACTATTGGATGTACTATTAAAAAAAAAAAAAAAAATCTGAATACATTTATTTTAATTTATAGTCAACCTCTTTAATTCACTGCACACAGCCCTGCAGATAAAATACCAAAAGTATGTGCCCTTGTATGGAATTTCTCTGTAGATGTCTAAGTATGCATGGGCACACCCAAGCTGCCATAGGGCAATATCAATTCCCACAATGCAGAAGTTCAGTGGAGGTAAGTACATTTTATTACTTACAAATGACACTTACTAGAGTGAGAGAATGAAGAACTGTCACTTCTAAGGAGCAGGTTTTGTGTTTTATTTAATACAAGGCTTCCAAGGCTGAAAAAAAACGATGAGTACCATGAATTTAAGTGAGAACATCTTAAAATCAAAAATTTACTTGGGAACTAAGTAAGAGCAAAACCTATCTCCCCTGGTTGAATATTTTTATAATATAAAATAATGTATGCTAGCTAGGTAGAAATCAAAGCTTATGAATATTATGCCAATATAATATTTTTAATGCCCAAACACTGGTTATTTATTAATTTATTTTATTGTTTAAGTAAAGGCAACGCTACTTGTTCTAACATATTATGCTGTTGCAGTTTGCTGGAGGTCTTGCTGGCCTTCGTGGATACACAGCTAACAGATAGCCTCAAACACTAATGACAAAACTCATTTTGAAAAGAAAAACTAACCAATATTATAAATATATATATATATATATATATATATAAAAATATCTGGAAAAAGTCAGTGAGAGGACTGAAAAGTCGACTGAACTGTTTGTATTATAGATTAATGAAAGAATCACTTCACATGGAAAGAAAGTCCAGTGAGTGCACTCTTTTTATCTTTATCTTTCGGCTGGAAATTTTTGCACCGTGGCAAATTTAATCTGTGGAGTACGATACGTTTTGGGTATATTACATATATGACCTGTGCCTGCACCATTACAAGTGAAAAGGAAATGGGAATCCTGTGGCATGAGGTACACGAAGGCAAAGGCATAACTAGAAACCACAGGGGCCCCGGTGTGAAAATTGCCCTGGGCCCCCATTCGGGAGCCTGACAATGGCCTGTCAAAGTGGTTCAGCAGAATCTGGAACTATTAAAACAGCAGACATCCATTCCCCCAGTAACCAGACAAAACATAGTTCTAGGAATCAACTGGTTTATTTCCAGCCACACGTGGCTGGAAATAAACCAGACCCCTACATGAGGTCTCCAATACAATAATACAGGGAATTAATTCCCAGGATCCTTTGTGCCTGAGAGATAATTACGTGAGAAAAAACTATAATTTAATTATCTCTCAGGTACAAAAAATCTATACAAAATGTACAGTACCCCAGAAGTATCCCCATCATTAGTAGGAACCACACAAAAGTATCCCTGGATAGTCCTGATCTGAGTGTACATATTCAAATATCACTCAGGTCAGTTTGGTGAAACTGGAATGCCACCGGGGTAAAGATTTGTCTGTCCGGGCACAAGGCACTAGCCCAAAACAGTTCCAGGGAAATATGTGTCCAGGCCAGTCTCTGTTCCAGGGTTCCTGTGCAAACACCATGCACGGGATTCTCTTAATTTCAGGGTACAAACGCTTCCCCTGTTCGGTAGTTCCCATCTCTCATATGTCATAGTTGGTTGGGAAGTAGAATGGGCAGCGGTCTAATCTTTAATGGGGTTCATGCGAGTGCCTAGCCAAAAAGAGTTCCAGACACTCGACAACCAAGTGAAACTGTGCACGTACGGGAGACAAAATGGCCTCCACTCCTTTGTCGACCATGTGTGTTCGGTTATACGAAATGGCGGCCACCCAGGGGAAGCATTCATTAATCACTTCCTTTGCAGTTTCGCAATTAAGTTGCTGGTGTGAACGTTCTAATTGGGTACAGGGGTGGTCCTCGTTCGGGAGACGAATGGATGGTGTTTGTATCCCCTAACTCCCAAACGGAAAAAGATGACACAATTGAAATTGGGTAGAATAGATGAAATTGGTGGTAGGTTCCACCACAGCGTGGAACTCTGAGCCAGAGGGGAGAATAGTCAAGGCCTGGTCAAACTTCCTCTAATGATTTCTCGGGCTAGACATCACCGATCCAGTTACTTTTTGGACAGTTTGACCCTCATGATCAGCTTTCCGGGGACTTTCACTGTTTGGGTATACTTTGCGAGGAAATGTTTTTGGGTCTGCTGTTGTAAGGTCACTGGTATCTGGTAATTATCTGGTTGAGTTATGTCCAAGACACCAAGGTGCCAGGGTGGGTAATGTATTGTGTGCTGTGATGACCTCCTGTTGGGAATTATTATTATTATTTTATTATTTATATAGCGCCATCAGATTCCATAGCACT